GGCAGAAAGTAGCACCTCTGCGGATACACAAAAGAAGAATATTGAAGAATAGAAGGTCGAAGGACTTAAGAGCAAAGAATTACTTGTTTCAAGCTCTAGATCACACCATCCTGGAAACAATCCTTAACAAGGATACAACAAAAGCCATATAGGACTCCATGAAACAAAAGTATCAAGGTACAACACGAGTCAAGATAAGCACAATTACAAACTCTTCGTAAGGAGTTTGAAACACTTCGCATGAAGGCGGGAGAGTTCGTGAATGAATACTTTGCTTGAACGCTCACCATTGCCAATAAGATGAAAGCCAATTGTGAGGATAAAGGAAACATTGCTATAGTTAAGAAAATCTTATAATCAATGACTCCTAAATTTAACTATGTTATGTGTTTCGTTGAGGAATCAAACGACACGAAGCACAATGACCATTGATGAGTTGCGAGAATAGTCCGTTGGTGTATGAATAACGTATAAGCTCATGCATCGAGGAGGAATAGGTGTTGAAGACAGCTCATGGAAATCATCTCATGGGAAGAGGTCAAAACCATGGAAACTTTTGGGAAAAAACAATGGGAAGAAGGCAAGGCTCTAACGAAGGCCACAATAGAATGTTATAACCATCACAGAGCTTGGAAATTTTCGAGTTGGAATATCCGGACGGAGAGAAAGAGACAAACTACACATAAGGTTAATAAGAGATACTACTATTGGCATATATGGATAAAGAGGTGGAAACCGAACGGGATATGTGGTTTCTTAATTCGAAGTTACGATAACTACATGCATGAAAGAAGGGAATATTTCTCGAGCTTAATGAGAATTACAAAGACTCCGCGAGAATGGAAAACAACTCAAGAATATAAGTATTGGGTAAAGGAAATATAAGAGTAAAGATGAATGGCATAGTATAAATCATCACGAAGTGTTTTATGTGCTCGCGTTGAAGAACAATCTGCTAAGCATTGGGTAGTTTCAAGAAAAAGGTCTTGATATCTTATTCCAATAAGATACATGCAAAGTGTTTTATCATGAGAGAGGCTTAATCATGGATACAAAAATGACTTCAAATTGAATGTATATAATGCATGTATCCTCACGACCTATGATACAACCAGTGAAGATAAAATGCAGCTTTGGCATTTCGGGTATGGACACTCGAGCCTTAAAGGATTAAAGATGCTTCGGGAGAAAAAAATAGTGATTGGGTTACCACCTTTTTAGACCTCTTTGAAATTATACAAATATTATCCGATAGGGAAGCACAAAAGAGACTCATTCCTAAAGCAAAGCAAATGGAGAGCATCACACATTCTCCAACCGGTGCACTTTGACATCTCGTGGACCAATCGGCCTAACTTCTAACAACGAACAAAAAGTATATCATCACTTCCATTGATGATTTCAACGGAAAAACGTGGGTATACTTCTTGATCGGAAAGTAAGAAGCCTTTGAGATGTTCAAAAGATTCAAAATACATATTGAGAATAAAACAAATTCATCCATCGAAGCCTTCATACCGACGAGAGGATGAGAGTTTAATTCATCAAAATTCATCGACTTCGTGATGAAAATGGAATAAACAAGCAACTGCAACTGCATACACACCTCAACGAACGGTGTTGCTGAGAGGAAGAATATAACTATTATGAATACGGTTCGAAGCATACTTTATGAAAAATAAGTCCTTAAGTCCTTCGACCTAAACTCGTCAATTGGACATTATATATGTTGAATCGCAGCCCCACCTCGGTAGTAAATAATAAAACACCGAAGAAGCTTAGAGTGGAACCAAACCTTCGATTGAGTATTTCGAGTTTTTGGTCGCATCGCCCGTGTCCTCATCCCTAATAGTATAAGAACTAAGTTAGATAATAAGAGCATGTGTTGCATTCTCTTGGGAATAAGTGGAAGAAATAAAGCATATAGACTCTATGATCCAGATTACAAGAAGAATCATAGTAAGTAGGGATGCTTGTTTTTAAAAAAGATAAAAGTCGAGACTCGGAATAGAAAGTCTAAACGAACCATTGAATGCATATTTGATCAAGAAGAAGAAATAGGCGTGGTGAATGGTGATCATGCCGAAAACAAGTCCGATCGGGATCCCGAGAAAGAAGAACACTCTGCAAATAGATTGTAGGTAGAAAAACACTCATCCGACGTTATTCAAAAAAGGAATAGACAACCACTCGTTTGGATGAAGGATCGTGACTCGGGAGAAGGACTTTCGATTCGGGAGAATAAGATAATCATAATGCTCATTTAGTTATGTTTACGATTGGAAGCCCTATTTACTTTGATAAAGCTATAAAAAGTGAGAAATGGAGGAAAGCTATGGGTGTGGAAATATAAGCTATAGAAAGAAATGGAACATGAAAATCGACAGAATTACCTAAAGGAGGAAGAAAGGTTGGGGTAAAATGGGTCTACAAAACTAAAATTCAATGAAAAAGGAGAAATGGACAAGTATAAAGCAAGGCTTATGGTGAAAGGGATATTCTTAGCAATATGGTATTGACTTTACCGAGGTTTTTGCATCGAGTAGCACGCATGGAAATAATTTGGTTGATAATAGCACTTGCAGCTTAAAAAGAATGGATCATCTATCAATTAGATGTCAAATCTACCTTTCTATGTGGTGAGTTAAAGGAGGAAGTATTTATAGAGCGACCTTGTGGTTACATTTAGAAAGGACATGAATAAAAGGTGTAAAAATTGAAGAAAACACTTTATGGGCTTAAGCAAGCACCAAGAGCATGGTATAGCCGCATAGAGACTTATTTTTTATGGAATGGATTTGAAAAATATGACAATGAGCATACATTATTCATCAAAACAAGAGAATGAGGTAAATTATTAATAATAAGCTTATATGTCGATGATCTTGTTTTTACTAGTAATGATGAAATAATGCTCGTCATAATTTAAATAATCTATGAAACTTGAATTCGAAATGACCGACTTAGTGGAAGATGAGATATTTTCTTGGATTGGAAATGTTACAAAGAATAGATGGAGTCTTCATCGATCAAAGAAAGTATGCCTTAGATGTGATAGTCGGGTTTGGTATGGACAAGAGCAATTCTATCTCTAATCCAATTGTCCCGGGCTTGAAGCTAGTGAAAGACAAAGAGGCATTAAGGTGGACAAAACGCATTACAAGCGGATTGTGGGAAGCCTCATGTACCTCACTGCTACTAAGGCCTGATTTGATATATGTAGTAGGACTAGTTAGTAGATACATGGAGAATCCTACGAAATTCATCCGTAGGTGGTGAAAAGAATGCTAAGATACTTGAAGGGGATAAATGAGCTTGGGATTTTCTATAGGAAGGAAGGAGATAGGAAACTCACTTCATACACCGACGAGTGATTATGCTAGGGATATGGACGACAAAAAAAGCACCTCGGGTTATGTGTTTCTGCTGGGTTCGGGGGTTATATCATGGTCATCAAAGAAGCTACCGAGTGGTGAGCCTATCTACTACAGAGGCGAGTTCATTCGTCGCCGCAATGTGTGCATGTTAGGCGATCTGGATAAGTAGAGTAATGGAGAAACCGAATCATGACCAAGATAAGCCAACCTTGGTTCATTACGACGACGACTCTACAATCAAACCGTAAAAAAATCCAATAATACATGGGCGAAGTAAGCATATTGATGTTCGTTTTCATTTCCTAAGGGAGTTAACAAAAGCTAATGTTGTGGAATCGATGCATCGCAGAACATATGAGCAAGTAAGAGACATACCGACCAAGCCTCTCAAGCTTGGAGGTGTTTCGAAGCTACGGAAGATGTTAGGATTGTGTATTGAAGCCGATATAAACCGAACATGTATTAAGTTCAATTTAAGGAAGGAATTATTAGGACTTGGTTATGCTTAGGACTCGTTATGAAGAGTTTGAGTAGGATTAATGTTTGTATTGGATAAACATTAGTAGATTACGTGTCTTAGTTTATTTCCTTTATGTTGTCTCGCTATAAGGCTATAAATAACCATGCTTCGTTTATGCTAATTGATACATAGACTCTTACAACCTCTCTCGTGTTTTTCTTTTGAATATAACAATTACCATACCAAACCCATACTAAAAATAGTTATTCTTGAAAAATTTGCAATTACCTTATTTGGTCCTTATAATTTTTTATAAAAAAAATTGCCCACCATTACATTGCATGACATAATTAGCAACAAAAGAAGCGAGCGACCATGTTTGGCACCGAAACCCTAAACAAGGAAGGTCTACAAGTAGGAGTTCAATGAAGCAGAGTAGCGTAGTCCAAAACTCCAAACAAAATGACCAAAAAACACACAAAATTCAAAGAATATTCTTAATTGGTCCTATCCACAGGACACTTGAAAACTCAGCTAAGCTCCCAAAACAACTTAGCTACTAGACTAGTGCCTAACTATTATTATTAACATTAACAAAATGAAAATGGGGACTGCTTGCTTTGCATTTCTTCTCCTCTTAGCCACCATCTAGGACCATAGAAAAGAAAGAGAGAAAGAAACAATTCTTAGACATCATGATGATGCGTACTCTATAAGCCATTTCCTTCCCCTTTGCCGGTAACCCAAACTCAAAAAACCCTAGATCTTACTCTCTTAAACACCTTTTCTTTTATTATTACTCCACTACCTTTACACACCTTTTTTTCCTACTCACACACACACACACATATATATATATATATATGTTTTTTTTTTTATTTTAAATTTCAGATCTGAGCATTTCTTTTTAGTCAGAAATTACCCACCTGAAACGTACAAATTTGCTTAGCTTGTCTAATTCTGATAGTGAGAGCTATTTATTATTGAATTTTGTGAGATTTAGTGCTTAATTTCACGTGATCTGCTTAAAATAGTATCAGATTATGAAATTCACGAGTATTAAAATTAATTAATTAACTATAGTTGATTTAGATCTAGGTTTTGTTAGTGCCATGTTTCATATGTGATTCTTTTGGGACTTTTCTAGTAATTAGATTGTCGAAATGGCAATGCCACCAGGAAATGTGGTCAGACCGGACAAAATGCAGTTTCCTACTGGTGCTGGCGGTGGTTCTGGTGGCAGTGCAGCTGGCGGAAATGAGATCCATCAGAACCACCAGCCCTACCCCCAAAGGCACCAGTGGTTCCCTGTTGACGAGCGTGACGGGTTTATCTCGTGGCTGAGGGGGAATTTGCTGCTGCCAATGCGATTATTGATTCCCTCTGCCACCACCTGCGTTCCGTTGGGGAACCTGGTGAGTATGATTTAGTTGTAGGGTGTATACAGCAGAGGAGGTGTAATTGGAATCATGTGCTGCATATGCAGCAGTATTTTTCGGTGGGGGAGGTTGTTGTTGCATTGCAGCAAGTTGTACTGAGGAGACAGCAGCAGCAGAATCATCATCATCAACAGAGGTTCTATTATGATCAGGGTAAAGTTGGGGGAAAGGATTTTAAAAGATCTTCAAGTGCCGGGTTTAATAGAGGGCATAGGGGTGGTGGTGGTGGTGAGGCAGTGAAAGAAGGGGTTAATTCTAATGTAGAGAATCATAGTTTCAATGGAAATTCTTCAGAGGATGCAAAGAGTGAGAAATTTGAGGAGGTTAAATCTGGTGGTGATGTTGGGAAATCTGATGATAAGAAAGGTAATAATAGTTGAGTTCTGGTTTTGGTCACATACTGCTGAATGCTTGTTTCTTAATTATTTGTCATGGTCGTAATTAGTGAATTTTAATTTAATGTAATTGTTTTTGAATAAGAATCATCTTGTTTATCAATGCTTTATTTGCTATATGTGAATTTTGTCAGCAAAGAAAGTGTTTTATGATTCTGAGTTGGAATCTGTCAATCCTGAAGCTGATTAGGAATGTGTTGTATTAGATGTGGATAGTTATCTTAGTTCAGTCTATTATTATTATTTGAAGTTAGGGTTTACTGAAAGAAAATCACTCATTGTGTTCTCAAAAAGTTGTAGCGTGTTTTCTTCTATAGCCGTTTTTTTGGAGATGAGAAAATTGGTGCAAAGTATCTATTGTTTCTGCATGGCTTGGAAGTTTTGTGAAAAATGAAAATGTTGTTGGTGTACTAGCTGCTAAATGTTTACAACTCTCAGGTCCGATTTGGACAAATTACATCTCTCTTAAAGCTTTTTGTAGATGTGCCAAGTCATAGTTTGATGGATGCTTACTGTTCTAGTAAAAATGGAAAATCTTCTTTTCTGTGTTTTATTTTTAGCCTAAAACTGTTGGAGCTTTTATTTCTGATATGTAAACCTAGAGTTTCTCTTTGTATTTTTTTCTACCGATATTTTTCTATCCTTTTTTCCCTACCCTACTGTGACACTGAAAGCTTTGGATTGTTAATTGTTCTGTCTGACTCTCCTTATGCTGCATAATCCACATTACGAACACCATATTGAATGCACGTGTTTAAGAATAATGAATAATTTGCAATCAATTGAAACTATGCCTTGTCCTAGAAACTATTTTGGGGAAACTGATGTCCATTTAAATTCTTTGTCATGTCAGCAGATGCTACTGTGAAACCAAATACAGATAACCACTTGAATAGTTTGGGCAATTCACAAGGAACCTTTTCTGGAAATTCAGAAGCTGCGGCTGTTAATGATCAATCTAGCCTGAAAGGTCTCTTTCTTGTGCTCTCTTGGGGTTGGCAGTGGGTGCAGATTTTAAAGCTCTTATAAGTTGTTTACATTGGCTATAGTGATTTTCTCACTAGTTTAGTAGATGATTTAATTGCTAACAATACTTTAAACTCACACATTGCAAAATGCAAATTCTTGTTGTCTTGTCTATGTTATTTTCAGTGTAGAGTCATTTGCAACTTTTTAAAGGAGCCTAAGTAAAACAGTATCTTGGAATTAATCTCTTATTTGAAATTTATTTTGTTGTCAAACTGTTGGTCCATATCATGTTTCATTTTGTTATTTTGGCATATTAATTTTGTTACTTAAAAGATCTTGTGGTTCTACCAGAGAGTGATTCACATCCCAGTAGTAATCAGAGTGAGAAGCAGAATCTTGCTATCACACCAAAAACGTTTGTTGCTGAGGAGATGATAGATGGACAGACGGTAACACACTTTTACAAGCATCGTTTTTATTGATAGTCTTACCAAATTCATATTTTGTTTCTTCTACTTCTAATTTGTTTATCCTTACTCTAGGTTAATGTGGTTGATGGGCTGAAATTGTATGAAAAATTGCTTGATGGCTTGGAAGTTTCTAAGCTTGTTTCTTTGGTTAATGAGTTGAGAGCTGCAGGGAGAAGAGGACAATTTCAAGGCAAGTCATTAATGGAGCCTTATTATTAATAGAAGTTAGTAATGTTCTGTATTTTTTCACTTTGGTCCTGTTTTCATGAAACAATTTTGTGTATTAATCTTGCTGCTCCAAAGTATGCAATCTACCATTGAGATTGACATTTTATCGACAATACATAAAGAGTATAGTTTCTGTAAGTACTTTTTGCATTGTTCTTAATTGATTAGTTGTTTTATTTTGAAGATACTTTATTGTTCCCCTTAGGGATTTGCCAGCATTATTTTGCATAGGCCTGAGGTTGAGACTGGCCAAGCTTAGGTTATCGTGGGGCAAGAGCCACCTTGCTTGATGGCCCATTCTTAGATGTGCCTCTTCTAGTTGATAGCCTAGCCAGGTGGCCCATTCTTAGATGTGCCTTTTCTAGTTGATAGCCTGTATAGTGTTATGTTTGAGGTATGCATGCCATTCATGCAAATGCTTTGTTACAATTTAACAGATTCTCAAAAAAATATTTATCACAGTGGAGTGTGTTAAAAGAACATATTAATTTTCTTAATCAGTACCCTTAAGGATTTATGTGCTTTGTTGACGTGAGAATATGGGTGAGGTCAAGCTTAATTATCTTATGTATTATTGCTAGCTTAGCTAAAAAGTCCTGCCCTGCAGATACCCTTCTAGTTGGCAGCCTTTTTTGAGATTTCATAAATAATTTAAAGCTCATCTTAAATCTAAGAAATATGTATATGAAACAAACAATTGCAATGAAGTGGGTTAAAATATACTGGATGTTATGCATACTTCAGTTATATTTTGTGATGAAATTACCAAATCCAATTTCTTTTTTTTTTTACGAACAGAAATAAATTGGGGGTCTATTTGGGAAAAAAATGGAGAGGATGCTGAGCTCACATTACTTTGAACTAGTTAGCATTCCTCATATAGTATATGCATATGTGAAAATGTATGTATGTGTAAACCTGGCTGTTTTTTGCTACCCTACATCTGATTTACTGCTAACAACATGACATTTTCGCATTCTGGATTTTCTATGGCTATTTCAGCTTCTAATGTTAATCTTAATGTTTCAAGTGATATTTTTGCCAACTCTGTAGTATGCATATGCTAGAAATATCATATCTTTCTAGTTTTGGTAATAGGATCTTGTTGTGAATAGAGTGCACAAATGCACATGTTTGGAAGCCACACTACTCAATTGTCAGATACATGGTGTCTGCTTAATCTCACTGCGTACATAAATGCATGCTCCTGTAACTACACGAGTAGACTACCTGTGCAGCCAATTAAAGCAATAAAAACTTTTTGGAATTGATATTTTACAGTATAAACTTGCAAAGAAATCATCTTTAAAGCTAAGAATCTTTAGTTTCCTCTCCCTAGTTTCAGGAGTCCCGCTTATCTATTTTGCTGCTGAATTATCCCCATCTACTGCCTGGACATGAAGTGCAGGATCCATATTTTATTTCCTTTTGTTTTGTTCTAAAGCATAAGTTTCTATTGCCATCTGTACTTGTGTTGTGAAATTTATAAACTACTCTTTCTTAAATCTATGTGTGAAAAAATTAAGTCGAGTAGTTCCCATATTATGACAGTATTTCCTGCTTTGGTGGAGGTCTTCCTGTTTGTCACATATATACATGCAAAGAGGAGTTTGCTTTTAGTGAAAATGTTGATCACGTGTAAATTCTATGTTGAAAAGCAGGCCAGACATATATTCTCTCCAAAAGGCCCATGAAGGGACATGGGAGGGAGATGATTCAACTGGGTCTTCCCATTGCAGATGCACCTGCAGAAGATGAAAATGCAAATGGGACCTCCAAAGGCATGTCACATCTTACGTAGAACTTTTTTATTATAAATGTATGTTTGGTTAAGATGCATCATGCATGCAGATCTCTTTTTTTCTTTACAATGCTAAAGAAACATTAGTTCTTATACACTTTCTTGGATTTTGTTATGAATAAATTTTGCAGATCGGAGAGTAGAACCCATTCCTGCTTTGCTGCAAGATATAATTGGACGTTTGGTTGGCATGCAAGTTATGACCATGAAGCCAGACTCTTGCATAATTGATATCTACAATGAGGTCACCGCTAGTCATATATGTGTAGCGATTTCAAATGACATCAATTACGTAAGTAAGCCTAATTTTTTGTGGAAATTTCTGCAGGGTGATCACTCCCAGCCCCACATGTGGCCACCATGGTTTGGAAAGCCTGTTTCAGTTCTTTTCTTGACAGAATGTGAGATGACCTTAGGGAGAGTGATTGAAACCATGCATCATGGGGATTATAGAGGGTCCCTCAAGCTTTCTCTTGCACCTGGGTAAGCATTGTTAACTCTGATTTTTTTTTTTGTGTCATTGATAGTTCAATTATTGGTTTTTGTGATTAGCTTTCCAGTAACTAGCATCGCAGCTTCAAATTAGATTCTGGAATGATATGGTTTTTATCCACTGTGATAAAGTTTGAAGTTCTATTTTCATGAAAACTGTCCTTTTAATTAATTTCCTTAGTAGAGGTCAGTGCTGAAATGAACATAAAATACTACTTTTCATGATCAGATTTGCTCACATTACAAATTTTCATGATGTTTAAATTTCTCTCTTGATGGTGCTTCCACATGGCTGTAACTTCTCTTGCTCCATGTCTATTGCATGTTGTCTCAAACAGCTAATGATTGCCTTGGAATTGCTCACTTACTTTCTAACTGTAGGATACAAGACGTTAAACAATTGTAAGGTTCAATACACACCTTCCCTCCACACAATCATATTTTCCCTAGAGCTGTGGTGAAACAGTTGTACGATGAGATGAGATTTAGCAATGCATTTCCTTCCCTTGAATGGAAATTTTTCATGAATACTTTCATGAGAATGAACTGTAAATTTGGTCTTATATTCCTCGAAGTAATGTTTCTTGCTGCAAAAAACAGATCCCTCCTTCTGATGCAAGGGAAGTCATCTGATGTGGCCAAGCATGCAATTCCCATGATTAGAAAACAACGGATGCTTGTTACCTTCACTAAGTCTCAACCAAAGAAGTTTACATCTACCGATGGCTCACCGCTTGCTTCACACACTGTAGCCCCATCTTCCCATTGGGGTCCACCTCCAAGCAGATCCCCAAATCATCTTCGCCATCCTGTGCCCAAGCATTATGCAGTAATTCCAACAACCGGTGTACTGCCAGTGCCGTCCATTAGGCCTCAAATTCCCCCTCCAAATGGTGTCCAACCACTCTTCATGACCGCCCCAGTTGCAGCACCAATGCCTTTTCCTGCACCAGTTCCCATCCCACCAGTTTCAACTGGATGGCCTACAGCTTCTCCTAGGCATCCTTCAGCTCGCCTACCTGTCCCCATCCCTGGCACAGGTGTTTTCCTCCCTCCACCAGGTTCTGGCAATGCATCATCTCCACTACAGTTGTCGATGGCTGCTGCTGAAATGAACTTTCCTACAGAGACAGCATCACCGCCAGAAAAAGAAAATGGACCAGGAAAATCCAGTCATGATACAAGTGCTTCTTCGAAAGAGAAATCAGCTGAAACGACTCAGAGACAAGATTGCAATGGAGTTGTGGATGGAAGAGCTGTGACAAAGGAAGAACAGTGAAGTGTTAACTATACAGTAGCTGACCAGTCAGCTGGAGCAGTTTAGAGAGAGAGAGAGAGAGAGAATTTTTTCAAAGGCTAGATGGGTAGGCTGCGTCTTGAAATGAGTTCGAAGCAAATGTAAAAAGCGGCAAAACATTTGAGACTTTGACGTTTAATACTACTACCGGGGAAAAAGGGGAGGAGGAATAACTCAGTTCTCTTGGCAATCCCTTAAGTTCTCTGTTTATTTTTTGCTCTCTTACCATATGAACTCTGTACACTAGGCAGAAATCTCATCTTAATTCAACACTTATATCTTCTTACGAGATTTTGTTAAGCTAGTTCTGATGGGCATATTGTTTCTAGTAAGGAAGTTATCTTTTGTGTGCCAGAGAGGTGGTTACAACACTGGTGATTACTGGTTACTCGTGATTGGAATTTATTAGCGAAGCTCAAGCAGTAATTTAGGGAGTCCAAACTAAAAATAATATAAACCCGAAACGTCATCACAGAATTATAATTGCTTTCGAAGTTTTCATGACACAACAATTTTACATGGTCTATTATAGTAGAATGGTTAGTGTAATGTTTTCTTAAACCTTATGTCTTCTTTCTCAGTTCACAATTTTTTGGCATGAGGATAACATGTTTTGAGGAGTGCAAGAATTTTTTTTTTTTTTTAAGATATTCCAAGTTTGAAAATTCAGATTAATCATAAGATAAGAATTTTTTTAAACATACACGAGAATTTTTTTTACTCAAATCAATCTTTTTTTATGTATTAAGAATTTTTATAGCTACACACAAGGGGTTTGAAGCAAGATCTTTTGGAAAGAGAGAAAAATACTGATGTCTTTCTCATTTCTTCGAATCATCGAACTTCTCATTCTTTCGGACCATCTGTCTTAGCTGTACTAGGATTTAATTGACCATATACCCGTGTGACTTGTGGACAGAATTCCGTATTATAAAAAAAGAAAAAAAAAGGTTGGGGACTAATTTGTGAAAGCCTACATAGGTTGCGTAGTGATTTGTAGCTAACCGAATAAAGAAATAGTATTTTTTTTTAATTGCGAATAAAGTTATAGAACTTAAAAGAGGACAAAAGCTGGTGAAAAGCTTTATCGCAAGCAAAACCAAATGGTTTAAGCTATATTGTGATTGAGTCATTTTAGACTAATATTATCAAATCAGGTAATTTAAATTATAAAATATTAAAAATTGAGTAAATATGATTTAAATTGTCAAATTTTTGTTATGCATAACGATGAACTTGTTTGATCGTTATTTGAAATATCAAAACGACAGCGTTTTAACTTTTTGCTATTAATTATATATTAAAAAGAGATATTTTAAAAATATTTTAACCACTTAATCTTAAACTTTTTTAAAAACTTTTTTTATAAAATATTATAAATTATATAAAAAACATTTTATAAATATTTTTAATCCTAATTTTGATTTTTTTGAATTTTTGAATAAAATATTATGAACATTTTATATATATATATTTTTATAATTTATAAAATTAGGAAAGTCAATCCTTAATAATACTCATTTTATTTTATAAAATATTTTTTAAGATTTAAAATTGTGTATTGTTAATTATTTTTTTTTACAATAATATTTTATATAGAAAAAGTTTTTTTAAAAAATTCAAATTGAGGAGTTTAAAATATATTTTTATAATAGAAAAGTTTTTAAAAAATTCAAAATCAAAGAGTGAAAAACATTTTAAAAAAACATAATTAATGGCAAAATGTTAAAATGAGGTGTTTTTAATATTCTAGGTAATGATACTGATTTTAACACTCTACGTAAAGATTAATTCAATGAACCGTTACACATAAAAAAATATTAAACAATTTAAATCATATTTACTCCCTCTTTGATATTTGTCAAATTAAGCAATTTGAACTATAGTTCTGAAATTTACAAATAGCAATCGAATGAACTTAAAATTTGCCATTAAACCAAAACCGAATAGTTAGAATACAGAAAACGAGAAAAATGGGAGAGGAAAGCAAGAACCCTCCGCGTCTCATCCTTCACAATTTTCTCACCAGCGAAGAATGCAAGGTTGGTCACTGTTAATCTCGAACATCTTGTGCCCCTACCCTCTAATGAATGACCATAGTTCATAAATTGGGTTTCTTTTATGTTTTTTAGGAATTGGAATTCATACACAAAAGCAGCAGCACAGTTGGGTACAGGCCAAACGTGTTCTCCACCACTCTCTCCCATCTCATAGCGACCAATTGTTGTCACTTTATCATCCCTTTTGTTCCCATCCGAGAGAGGCTCAAAGAAAATGTTGAACAATTGTTTGGCTGCGAGTATGAGCTCTGTATCGAATTCACTGGCTTGATTAGGTTCGTTTCATTCTTTATGATTTATTTTTTATTCATTAGACTATTTTCCTTCTTTTAATTTTAATAGTTATCCCTCATATTTTGCTAAATTAAGAGTAATATAATATATATTTTGGAAATCAAATCAGCTGGTGTAGAGGAGCTAGCATTGGATGGCATAGTGATGATAACAGGGAATATCTCAAGCAGCGACACTTTACGGTATGTTATTTATTTCTATATAATCTTTGCACCTCAAGTATTAAGCTAGCCGTGCTGACATTTTTTCATGCTTTTTTGTTCTGTTGGCAATTTTATTTTATTATTATTATTATTTTTTTTTTTTTGTAAAGGCAGTGTGTTATTTGAATAGCTATGGGAAGGATTTCGAAGGCGGACTTTTTCACTTCCAGGATGGGGAACCGACTACTCTTGTTCCCATGGCCGGAGTAAGGCCTTCTGATGGGATGATGATCAATTGTTTTGTAATTTCCGGTCACTTTTGTTTCACTCATTGTTGTGCTTTTATCAGGATGCTGCCATATATACAGCTGACAGCCGCAATATTCATTCTGTGGATGAGGTAAATCATTTTTTTGTAATTCATGAGGCGTGGATGAGAATTCCAATTTGTTTCACTATCCTGGAGTCTATGACCTTGGGCAAAAGTTCTTATTATTATCAATTATCAATAGAAATACTCTGTTAGCTATTCTTGCTTCACTGGCACTACAAGTTCTGTATCATTTTCCATTTTTTATTTCACTGATCTTCTATTATTATTATTATTATGGTCTCTGCAGCCTAATGGCCTGTAGTGTAGCTTTTTTGTTCCAACTGATTTAACATTGTAGATGCAAACAATGAAGGGATATTACATGCATGTTATGGCTTATGCATGCAGAGTTCTCTTATTATTTTAGTTTTAGAATGAAGTAATAGGCTTGTATTGTTATAAGGTTGCCAAGAGAAGAACCAAAAAAAAAAAAAAAAAAAAATACAAGTGTTCATTGCAATTGGCAGAAACTGCAAATGAAAAATTTATTGATTACGTTGGTTCTAAACTTAACTTACAAAAAGAAAAAGAAAGCATAATATGCTATGCTCTATGCATTTGGCGTACTGGCTTATGAAATTCAGTTAAATGTAACAAAAAGAAACCAAATTACTAGCTTGGGGATTTATTCTGATCTGATGAGTGATGACCAAGTTTGGAGTAAATGTACTTGATGATGAAGTGGACTTGCTGGGTCTAGATGTAATATTGTATTTCATTAGTTTGTGTTAGGACTTGCTTTAATTGTTTCCTAAACAAATATGCATTAAGTCTTTATGAACTCTCAAGTTTTTCTTTAATCTTTTCTTCTACCAATTTTATGGTAAGTAAAGTCTCAGCTACTTGCCTATTTTCTGAGTTTCATTGTTTTCTACTATAATTTATCAGTTTACTGTCACAGATAACTGAAGGAGAGAGACTTACGCTGACACTGTGGTTTAGCCGTGATAGTGCCCATGACGAGGATGCGAAGCTCATTTCCCTTCTATCAAAAAACATGCTACATAGTTCAATAAATGTGCCTGAATTGAAGCTACCTATGCCGGCATCCAGCAATATGTACTGGTTTTCTCCAGATCCAGCATCTCATCAACAGTTAGGATTTGATATATGCTTTGCAAGAATGCATGTGCTTGGGTTTGATATTTGTTCTTGTCGAGGAAAAAGCTTGTTTTCAGATTCCACAGAGCTACTAATGGAGCCGCTGCAATTAGTAAGGGGAAACGAGTTGTTTAAGCAGGAGTTTGTCAACATCTTGCATGCACTTCAGGTATTTTCACTGCTTCTGGTACATAATAACCTAGTCAATATTCAGAGAGTAAACGAATATAATCACTTAGACATCATAACTCCTTCCACATGAGTTTGGCCTAATTATCTTGCTGGACTCAAATTATTTTATGTGCAATAATCAAGAACGAATGAAAAAGAGCTTTGGTCATTGTGTTTCCACACCTTATCTGGAATCAGGGCGTCAATACTCAATGACTCCTACCTCAGTAGGGAAAATATTAGTACTTCTAGAATTAGGCAACCGATAAAGTATTAGGTGGTGATGTTGCAAGGACAATTGTTAATGTAGCGAGTCTAAAGGGTCACCTACATCTTGGATGGTCTGATATGCCTCCATCTGCTCTCCTGTCCATGGAATCAATATGCCTGGCTCAAGAAATATGATAGTCTAGTCAAAATATTTGTGATAGAATTTGTTTAGCTTATTGATTCCGGAGTGCTTATTGCTGTGGCATGATACAAGAGCTCTAGAGTGCATTACCAAAATCTTAAATGCCTCTGAAGAATGTGATTACAATAGTACTGATGTTGATAGTTTCGTGTAGCACTACCTAACATCTTATCACATCTCATCTGCAACACTGCTTTTCTAGGGGAATGCTGGGTTCTTGACTGACCAAAAGTTTTACCAACTTGTTTAGGAAAAGAAATTTTCTCGTATCTCAATAATTAGCTGATTTAGTTTGTAACTCTAAATAGGTGGTACAATTTCACCATTGGAAAGCTGCCGACTGGCTAAATGCTCAATTGGAACTAGAAACTGGGGATGTGGAACAATTATCAAAATCACAGCAGGAAATGGTTAGTAGCCTCAAATCTCAGTTCTTAAAGGATCACCAACTGGTAGAAATGATCTTCAGTTGCACAACTTGCAGCAGGAATCAGCAACATTTCTTTGATTGGGAAAAATTTTCAGCTGCAATTGTCATTTTCGAAGACTACACCTGTAAATCACACAAAAAGTTACTGATGAGCTTACCATATTGGCGAACTCATGGAATTATATATAGTGTTCCTCTTGAATGTTCGAGTCTTGAAAACTAATTGGGTTATTAGCTTTTACATGTTAGCCATGCTACATTGTTTTGTTTTATTTCTATCTACCACCAACTTTAATTCCCTTGAAATCCTCTCTCTTGCTCTGTGTCCAAGATCTACGAACTAGATCTAACGCCAGAGGAACTTTAGCATATGCAAACGTGCTTCTGCTAGCTGGACCCAAAAATCAATAGCTAAGAATAGGCTGGTTTAACTATGCCTTGGGATAATGATTTTTTCGTCTACTATTAGTCACCTTATCATGTGGAGATGCGGATGAGAGCGGAGAAGTTACCATAGCTGCCAGCTTTCCTTAAAGAGTGTAAGAACCTTTGTGAATGTTTTGCGTGACTATAAACAATGCACCAGTTACTTCTTGAGGTTGGACCAAAATATAGCATGGATAAACCGCAAAGGTGGCAGAAGTGCTTGGAGGATGTGATAAGAACTTTCTTGAATATGGTTTAAGCCCTACCTTTCAACATTTGGAAAAGAATCCCCTTCCATCTCTTCGTAGGCCATCAGCTGAGCTCACGAGTTCCATTTCAATTAGGAGAGAATGGTATTTTTGGTGCCCAAGCTTTGATTGTTTTTCTGTTTTGTTGTTCAACTATTGATTTTTAACGATTTGCCATCCAAAATTTGAATTTGTTTCTGTATTTGAATTCACTTAAGACTCATTAAATAAAGACATGTCCCGGAGTTTATTATGCGTTATCTAACATACTAGGGAAAGGTGTGAATCGAAGTTCTTGGTCATAAAAGAAAACATGGATTATGTGCGTGCATCATTCTTTACATTTGGGCCAAGCTGATAAACCTTAATTAAACCTGAGAAGTCAACCGGACTTCAGAAATTAGAAAAGGAAAAGGGTCAACCTCATCAATGAAAAAAAGAAAAGAAAAGGTTTTATTTGCTAATCCACACTTACAGACAGCAAGAGTCAACACATTTGATCAAATCTTAATTAAGATATTATGATAGAGTTACAAGGCTTGCGAGACAAAAAAAAAAAAAAAAAGAACTCACCATAACATGGCTATCACGAACTGGGAATTATTGGCAAACATAGCCTATAAGAATTGAAGAGGTTGCAAAACCTCGGAAGATGAAGTGATTTTTTCACAGCAGGTGTAAAGGTGATGTTTGTTGGTATCAGATGGTGGCTGTAATGGCTGGGATATTTGTAAAAAGAGTTTTTTTTTATTAGGTGGAGGATCTTCTTACAATCAAGTTTGTATATAGAGAGAAATGTGAGTCTAATAAAGTTATGGTACAAGTATAAAGAAGAAAATGAATAATAACCCTAAGAAACAAAAGTTCAAAATCCTTGATCACTGGTCTCATGGCTGTTTATATAGCCATGAGACCTGTTAAATTGCATGGAGGAAGAGGTATTAGAATCATTTATTTATCTGTTGTCAACAACCTCTCATGTTGATCAGGAGATAAGTGTTTCATTTGTTAATAGATCTCTGTTGAGCAAACATAATGATTGATTGTTGTCTATTTAACAAAATTAATCTTGAATGTATATCATTAATTAATGAGTGTACTATATATATGTCTTTATGGTATGTGATGGATATGTGTAAACTCTTTGGCCAATGTTGGGATGGCTGGTAATGCTTTTGGTCATCCATCCAGGAACCATCCAAGAACGCTTCATCATTTGGACTTTTTCCAGGTGGAGTGATAGATCGAGAGTCGATAATGATTCTTCCATGTGCCGCTTTGTATGAGGCTCCGGGGGTGCACGAGTATTTTCAAGAATATAACTTGTCCCTTGAGTCTTTGCAATTGTTATTGTAAACGCTTAATTTTCATCGGAGCTTGGAGAGTTTTTTGGCGAATCCATACTGCCTCAGTATTGTAGCCGGCCTAAACTTTTTGCATTTGACCCTTGAAAGCGTCCAATTGGAGACCATGCATTGCGTCCGACCCATTAGAGGTCTTGTCACTTGTCCCATCAACATTTCATTCCCAGATAGAATCATAGTTACATCTTGCCTTGGAAATTGTGCTGGTATAGGCCAAGGATGGCACAAGAGCGCGTGGACGATTCTAAAATTCAGAGCATCTCCAAAACTTTTTAATGCCCACCATAAACGTCGGCACCTCATTTGTTGAAGGGGATACTTGCCCGACTAGGTTTAGACACGTCACCAGAAATCAGCTAGGCTGGATATGAGTCTCTGACATGGCTGGGCAAGTTGGAGGGCTTATATAAGGCTTGATGTGCCTCTGTCTTCATTTTATAGTTTCGCTCATCTTCGTTTTTTTCATCTTTCGACAGTCATTTCAAGAGTAATTTTTGGCAAAAAAGAATGGGAGATTTGAGTGGTTTTTGGGAATTTAAAAGATTTTTATTGTTGTTTTGTGGGATTTAAAAGAGTTTGGAGGGAGTTTCACTACTGATTTGGTGTTTCTGAGAGAGTGAAGCCACCATCATCGTCACTTCAAGTTCTGCAGTGATCCGAAAACTTTTAGTTCTGTTAACCCACTACCCTTCTTTTCACATTTTAGTAAATCAAGTATGGCAGGTTTAGATAGAATTAGATCTGGATCCAAGGCTGTCTCAAGTGGTCCGATTCCCCAAACGAAGAGGAGGAGGGAAATATCCTTATGGGGGTGATTAACATGCCTAGGGATGCTTTTGATGATGTTTTCCCAAGTAGAGGTAATGCAGATGTGTTGGCCTCGTATAATAAAGGCCTTTGCCTTGGATATCCAGCGAGGGCCCTAAATTTTAAGGATAGAATTAGTAAGCAGTCATCTAGAGCTATGAAGGGGAACATAGATATACATGCACCTGTGTGCGTGCATGTTCATGCTTGGGTATAGCTTCCCACTGACCGACGCTAGGAATGTATTTGGTCACTACAACCTATGTGCCAACCAACTGCATCTGAATGGGTTGACTACTATGTAGCAGCCTTAGAGTAGCTTTGTAAACTTCATAGTACTTCTCCCAACGTTAGGCTTTTTACATATTGCTACCTCCTATCTTGGAGATTTTGGGGAAAATAAGGGTTACACTGGTTCTTCACTTTTTTACCTGATAGGATAGTCCCATTCAGGGGTGATTGTGGAGAAAGATGACTATGTAAAGGAGTGGAGAGGGAAGTAGTAGTTCAATGTACGCTATGCAGGTGATGGCATGCCGCTAGGTAGAGTTATGTCCATTTTTTGAAAGGTACCGGTTAGGAACTATAACAATGTGCCCACATTGAATGAAGCTGAGGAGGATTTCTAGCGGGTTGTGAAGGAGAGATTAGAAATGTATCGGATCAATCTTTTGATGAAAATGTGGATTCAGAATCTGAACGCTCGCGATAGTTAGATTAGCCTTCCTTTTTTTTTTTTAATGCTAACTCTTTTTCCTATCATATACAAAGTAGAAATTTTATTATAATCAAGAGTACATAGAAGCTAATCCATTGAGACTTTGGACACAAACCAATGAAAGAGTGTTACTTGACTATTTGAGAGGCTAGGATTCCTTTTCTACTTTCGAGGAGTGAGAATCAAATGATTGGTGTTTTGTTGATACAGATTCATCCTCCATGAAGCTCAAACTCTCTATTCTAGAAATATTAAAATATTAAAAGGAAAAAAAAACACGGGTTGGACGCACCAGCCGCACTTTGGTTTAGGGATGCAATGGGGGCGTGGTGGGTAAGGGGAAAACTTTGCCCCATCTCCGCCCTGTGCCTTGAATTGAACAAAATTTATCATATTATCTCCACCTCAAATAAAGATAGGGATACCACGAGACATTGGCGAAGCAGACGCGAAGCAAATGAAGCAAAAAAATTATTAATTCTTTCATTTAATTATTAAATTTTAACTTATATAAAAAAATGATAATTTATATAAAAAATAAATTAAAGAATTTATTAATTATAAATTTTATATAAAATATAATTATAATTTTAAAAATAAAAATCGTAAAATAAGATAAACGAAACGGAGTGGACAAATACCGTTACCGTCCCATCTTTATTCACAAGACGCCATGGCCTACACCGTTTCCCGATCAATGTGGGAAATCCTCACATTCATCGGGGTGAAATGAGACTAAACAGCATAAATTGTCATCCCTACTTGAGTTTGGTGGGCCAACTTGTACAAAAAAAAAAAAAAAAAAAAAAGGTGTCATTTGCCCTGTAACTTCCAACGACCAATCCGTCGTCAAAAAATTAAGAGTCACCGGCTTTCATTCCTAAAACCTAAAAATTTCACAATTTCTCACTGAAACTACCTCAAAATCAATTTATATTTTCGGACTTGGAGCTCCATTAGCACATTATTTCACTGACAATAACCCACCATCAATGAGTTGTTCTTTTCAAGACAAACCCATGGACTCTAATATCGAAGGTTTTGGAGGCCGAAATGAGGCTGAGTGGAGTTTTTCTCCCCTTTCTCTTTCTCGCCATTTTCTCTCTCTACACGTAGGGATTGAAACGTGATGAAAACGAAGTATAGGTACCAAAATGCAACTGTTGAAAAATAAAAAGATCTATTTGCAAAGTTGGTAAGTACCATCCTATTTTGACCTTTAAAATCCGCTGAAATTACAAAAATACTATCGCGAACCGTACCAATAAATTTGAGTGAATAATGAAACTTGAGAGAGTAAATAATTTAAAAATTGTGCAATGAACAGTGAAAAACCTATCTTCTGGTTTATTGGTAATTATAAAATTCACTCATTGGCAATAATAACATTTGGGGAGAAGGCATGCAACATTACAAATCATCGGTTGGTGATCCAAACCAGTTGGGGCTCTGATTTGGGGGCCCAAGATAATCAGATTCTATTTGCATTACTGAACTAAAAAAATTTGATAACATAATCTTCGTTCATGACCCACAAATTTCCTAAACAATAATATTCAATACAAAAAAGTGGTGTTACTCTCAAACAATTGTCAATTCCACTCTCCAAGTACTTATATTGTATTTCAATCGAATAAAATATCCCTAATTTCTTTGTTTTTTGCTTTTTTTTTTTGTTTATAAAATATGATAGAAATTTTTTTGATTAGATTAATTCTAGAATATTGTTGAAAAATAAGTAAAAATTTATGGTGGCTGTAAATGGAGTACACCTCTTTAACCAAAAGACCATCTATCTTGTTAGATTAGTAATTGTTTTAGTGATTAAAGGCTAGAAGACTAAAATTTGGTATTGGATTCTCCACACTAATACCGAAATAAATAAATAAATAAATAAATTTTGAATTCATGCCTTGTGCTAAAACGATCTTACGAATAAAAAAAAAAAAAAGGTAAAAACATCCGTATTGCTTGCATCATCGAATATATGGTTTCAGCAATATACTATGCTAATCATTCATATCATCGTGTCACTTTATTATATAATTCCATAGTAAGATCAGAATTACGCTAGATTAATCAAATGCAATTTTAATTTATGGCCTAGTCGAATCATCGTCACGACGAATGCAACTTAATCAGATTGTGGCCACCAACGTTTCAAACACTAATTGCTTCTATGGTTCAAAAGTCCAAAATTATCACATTTTTTTTCGCTTTATAATTTCTATTTTTGCTGTTCTAGAAAGAAAAAGGCTTTGTTTCACATTGAATGTGTTCGTACCTCATAAATAGATACTCATGGTTTAGGGCATGCATATGCTGCTGCCATGAATTTTCAACATCATCGAACATTTACGCAACTACGCAAGGAATATGCCTATGGAATTATACTTTAACTTAACCTTCATATCATTGTACTATGGTAGCTACGTATCAACATTGTATGGGACACGTAGGAGCATCCTCCATTGTGTTTGTTATTATTATTAATTAGTTTGTTGTCCGGTAATATAATGTAGATCCAATAGAATAGCTAAAATTATTTTAGTTTGATGGCTAAGTCATACCATGTTACGAGTCTGCTTATAAAAGATGTTTTAATTTTTTTTAGTTAATTCATATTACAACACAAATGTATTATAATTAAGTTTATTCAGTATTGATTTTTTTCCCCCTAATTTTAATTATCTCAATTTGAGCATTCTCTAAAGTTTATGTTATGCATATTATAAGAAATAAAGTTTATCACCCACTAAGAATTTAAAATTTTTAGCATTTGCTAACAAAATTTTAGGAGAAAAGTTGAATTGATTAATCTCCTAAAATTTTAAGATACTAAAAATTTTCAATGAGAAAATTTCCCTAAATATTAGAGTGAAAAAAAAATTTAATAATTAAATTAACTTAAAATCAATTTGAAATCTCATCAATGGAATTTTAATCTCGGAAAAAAATTTCAATCTTAAAATTGATATATGTATTAAATGAAAGATATTTTACTTCAAAACTAAGGTATGTAATATTTCATTCCTAAATGCAACGTGGGAAGCTAATTTTCTTAATTAATAAAGTATTTCGGCTCCCTAACTTTTTGGATGGAAATTTTGCCTCTAACATTAAGGTTAAAAAAAAAAAAAAAAAAATCTTCTTGACTGACATTAATGCTTAAATATTAGTAAAAGTGGAAAAATGTTCTCTACTACCCTCAAAATTCTCTCTCTACTGGAGAGTCTGAAAAACCTGATAACTCAAAATCAGATTGAAGCACCAAGAACGTCAGGCTAAGAGACAAAGAACCAAGCCAAGAACCTCCTACTAATTTATCACCTCCGAAGGTAGATTGAATTTCAACAAAGTGACGGAGGCAGAGCCAACACAAAATTTTGAATGGCAATCTCTTGTTAGTATTGAAGTTGATGATGGGGACATATGAATAGAGGAAAAGACCATGGCTGGTCTATTAAGCTACCAGAGGCATTCAAGAAGTGCCTCAAGAAACTACGGGAGCTTTCTGCCATGGTCAAGGTTGAAGTGTGAGATACAAAACTTTATGCAGACGACTAAAAACCAACCATTTGGAACGTTGCTAGGCCATTCAGAGTAATAGACATGGAATGATTAGTTTTTGGTCTGGTTCTCAACTCATACAGATTATTTATATGTTTTGGTGGAAAGCCCTTGGGAAATTCTTGGGCATTGTGTGACTATCCAACCATGAGACCACAATTTCAGAGCCTTTAAAAGGAAAATTAAACATGCAGTAGCATGGGTTAGATTTTTGAATTTTCCATTGGATTGGTATTATCCACCCATCAGATAAGACCCAATCCTCTAGCAAGGCTTCTAGAGTAGCCAGTAGCCGAAACTCAGTTTTGAATAGCAGCAAGGCAATTGCCCAGAATGTCAATATTGGTGTTATGACGGCTAGGACACAGTCTGGGAGTGAAACACTAGATGTTGATAAGCACACAGTAGTTACAATTAATGACAATTACATTGATCTGACAGCACATGAATTAGAGGAGATTGACCGTGTATCAGAGTTAAGCGATTCCACTAATGTTGATGATATCATATTGGTGACCGAAGTGTTGAAGCCAGGAAAAGGAGTACTTGCCATGCCAATTGCCATTGATGAACCATTTGACTTAATGCCCCCTGTCAAGAGGAAGAAGAAAAAAAAAGGCGAGCAAACCTACAATTCCCATACACAGAGTAGCTTGTAATGTTTCCCATTCTAATCACAACAAGAGTGCTAAATTGAAGCAGGTTATACTGGTGACATAGGAAGATGAAGGCATATCTTATGACTCCAGAGCTATAGAGACTACCAGTTCTCTGTCTCAGGTTTAACTAGTTACTTTTTTTTTTTTTTTTAATGTATCCAATGAATATCATCTTTTGGAATTGTCAAGGAGCTTCACACATGTTGTTCAAAGCCGCTTGTTGTCATTCAATTAGGATGAATAAACCTAAAATCCTAACTATATTTGAGCCTAGAATCAGTGGTGCACAAGCCTCTTCAATGGTCAAACAACTAGGTTTCTCTCGTTCACACAGAACTCTAGGGGTATTTGACTTCTGTGGAACGATGTGCATGTTTTGATTAAAATCCTCATCAATAATAATTAGTTTATACATATGAGGGTGTACTGTGATGAGATGCACTTCTTTCTTTCGGCAATATATGCCAATCCTAAGGGGCACATCCAAACCACGCTTTGGAAAGAGCTACAGAAACTTTCTAGGCAAATAACTGAACCATGTTTGATAAAGGGTGATTTGAAAGCATTGATGTTTGATGTTTCGAACAAAGAAGAAAAGAAGATGAGGCTTCAGCGTGTACAACAGCTACGCATTCTCTTCTTTCCTGAATGACTGTAGTTGTTAGATCTCGGTGTCACAGGTCCCTTTTGTTTGGTTTCCCTCCTACCTGGAGGATGACTTAAAGTTTTGTCTATACGAGTCTGATTTTAGAATCTATGTGAAAAAGAATTTTTTAATCACTTAAAAAACTAATTTAAGTATTTCTCAAAAATACTCTCTTCTCTTTAATCCTGAGATCAGATTAGAGAAGATAGGAGGGAGAGAGAAAAAAAGAAAAAAAAAGAGAGCCTCACCTTTAGAAAAAAAGAAGAAGAAGAAAGTTTCAGCATGGATCAGTTACGGTAACATTGAGTTTCAAGGTTTGTTAATCATTAAATCAAGCTCAAATTTGATGGATACGTTCGAAAGAGACAAATGCATATACTGAATGATGCAAATCAAGTTTTGAGTCTTGGAGAGTGAGATATGATACTTTCAATAGTGTTATTTTCTCATAAAATCTGAACTTAGTTTCTTTTCTTTTCTTTTCTTTGTGTATCATCTATTGATGAGATTTGCCAAAAGTGTGTAGCCTTTGATGCTTGTGGCTAAAATATTTTTTTAGTTTAATCTAGAAAGGATTTCTTATATTACTTATTATTATTGGTCGTGAAAGTTTTTGTGATTTCTAGTTGTGTGATTAATATTCTATTTTTTAGATTATTAGTTTCGTATTTTATTTTAGGTGTTTAGTTCTCATATAAGAATAAACAAGTTCGGCTTACTATCTATGTTTTTTTGTCCAATACCCTTTACGCATGGCAGCGAGGTTCTGTACAAAACCATATGGATGGAGTTGTTTAAATAATATATATCAGATTGAAGAGGACAACATAGGTGAGGACAAAACTCTTTTATTTTTTATATTGCACAAAAGGTTTCATTTTCCAACCTACTCGTGATTCACTTATATATATATATTTTAAAAAAAAGAATAGATAAATAAGATAAAGTTGGATGGGGTTGTGAATTTGTGATTCTAATAAGGCTGTGTCAAACTACTCAAATCAGTTATTGTACTTAAACAAAATTCTTAAAAAATAATACTGTAATATGATATCCATATTTCTTTTGTTTTTTTTTTCGATCTTGAATTTTGCTAAATTGGGTTTTTTTTTTCTTTTTTCTTTCTTTCTTTCCTTTTTGTTTGTTTGTTTGTTTATTTGTTTGGAGAGAGAACCTCTCAAACTACCTCCTTTCAGTAAGGTTGAAGGTTGGCTACCTTCTCTCGTCTTCCCTTTCCCATTAATTATTATCCTAAAGTTATATTTTTATATATTTTTTTTTCAGTCTTGACCTTTGCTAAATTGTGGTTTCTTGGATTAAAAAAACCTCTTAAACTACCTCGTTTTAGCCAGGCTGCGGTTTGGCTACCTCCTCCAGTCTTCTCTCCCCCATTAGGATTTCGTAAAATTAATTTTATATTCCAATAATTAATTTTGATCAGTAATTAACACTATTAAAAGATTACTGAAAGAAACAGTTCCATCACTAAACACTGTCAGAATACCGACAAAAAAGTTTTCATTTTTTTTAAATGGACGAAAATTCCTATGAAATATTTTATGATTATTTTTTGAGAACATATATATATATATATATATATTATTCTTTTTTTTTTAATCTTTTCGATAAAATCACGAATCTATAAATTTAGCATCTTAACTAAATATTAGCCCGGTAAGAAGAATAATCCTTATACTATAGGTATTTTCATAGGTAAATTTGTCGACATCAAACCAAAGAATATTCATAGACAATCGACCACAAAAAGTAGAATTAATTATCCGTTTGTTTGGCGAAAAACAACTTTTATAAGAAAATCAATTCCCGAGGAAGCTATTTTTTAGAAAATTATTTTTTCAAAATATATTTTCTCATTGTTTAACAATTACATGAAAAAACTATCGAAAATATATTTCGGTATTTGTTTGATACATAAAATTAAAATACAAAAATAGTATGTGATTATTACATCAACAAGTTTTGAAAAAACTTCAAAAAAGCATATTCATAATTTCACAATATAATATACATTTAGAAAAAATTAATAAATTTTCATAAATATTGACTCTAAAATTTTAATTCAAAAAAATAAAATATATTTTTTTAATCATCAAACCAATTCATCAAAATTACTTATGACAAAATTAAGTCAATATTCATATTTAGTAAAAAAAAAAAATTAATTAATCCTAGCATTGTTATTTTGATAACTCAATTAAGAATTTTTTTTTAGAAATCGAACCGATAATTTAGTCTAAAAAATAATTTTATAAATTATTAGTTATCATTTGTAGATAATTATTCATTTGGTTTCAAAAGATTAATGTTGGAATAATTTGAAACTAATTATTTACTACAATTACTAACAAAATTTTACAACCGATTAAAATTACAAATTATTGGTTTAGTTGCAAATGAATAGTATTAAAAAAATAATTTATTTATTAATAAATTAATTAATTTCAACTTTTTTTTACAAAAAAATACAATCTTGAAATAATCATTTTCAATCATTTAAGTATAGTGTAAGTGGTGTTTGAGATAATAGTAAAAAAATAAATATAAATTATTGAAATATTTATTATAAAAATAATTTTAAGGTGTAAAAATGGTTTTTAAGAATATTTAATGTATATATAAATAAAAAATATTAGTAGAAATAGAGAAAAAATAATTAAATAATAAATAATAATTGATAAGGAATAATTAAAAATTAATTTAATATATTTTAAATAATAAGAAGATAGAGAAAAAATTATTAAAATATATCAAGAGAGAGGTAAGTAATGCGAGAGTGAGACTGCTAGTGAGAAGGAAAATGTTTTCCTCTTTTTAAACTAGGAAAACAGTTTTTTTTTAAATAGTCTATCATTTTTCGTTGATTTTTTTTCATAAACACGAAATAAACACTAAAAAATGAGGAAAACAAGTTCCCGAAACTTGTTTTTTCCTAAATAAACACAGACTCTTAAGCTTGCTACTCTCTCTCTCTCTCTCTCTCTCTCTCTCTCTAAAAAGAGCAATTTCATCGATATTGACAAGTAAAAGTAAATTGCTATTTTCATATATCTTGAGAAATTACTTGTCATTTGAAAAGATAACCAACAACCTAACACTATATTTTTTAAATAATTTGATCGATAAAAAAAAGGCCCTTTGAAATTTTCATGTAAGCACTAATTACATCTCACCCACACAAATAAGATTGAGTCACTATAAATTGACTTAGGTGGTGTTTGATAAAACTGAAAATTAAGTGCTGAATCTATTAAATACTAAATTTTAAGTGCTTGAATCGTTAAGTACCGAATATGTTCCTAACAAGCTATTTGGTATTTACCGAAAATTAAGTATCGAATATAATAAGCCTCGTTTGAAGATGATAGAATATATATGATATTTTTTAAGATTTTAGTTTGAACATATGTATCCGATTATATTACTCTTATTGTTTAAAATTTATTTTTTTCAATTATTATTATTTTTTACTAAAATTCTCATCAAATTAATTTTTGATATAATTTTATTTGTTAATAAATTTGATTTTTTAATATATGAATTTTGGAATAAAATTTTATAACGTCGATGTTTTATTTTTTAAAAATATATTATTATAATTTATAAATTCGAATATATATATATATATATAAATATATATATATATATATATATATATATATATAGAGAGAGAGAGAGAGAGAGAGAGAGAGAGAGAGAGAGAGAGAGAGAGAGAGAGAGAGTATGTTTTAGATAGTTTGACTTAATCGGATAAGTTAAAAATTTTAACTTATCCGATTAAGTAGATTTTAAATGAACTTAAAGTTTTAATATGAGATTATTTAAGTTATCAAACAAGATTTTTATATTAAGTAGTACAACTTAATTTTTAAACTACTTAATTAGGTTATCAAACACCTCCTTGTACTCCATTGATAGAAAATTCAAACCATTAATTAATATCAATCTCTTTCATCCGGTCAAAAACAACCACCATATTTTTATTCAGAAGGAAAAAAAACAAGTAGGCTGACACGCGAATACATAAATTTAAATACAAGATTTATATCTATATAAAATTAAAAACGAGATATCTAAAACCATAAAAAAGAAAAAACGAGAGGCTCCCGTTGATGAGAACCATCTACGACAACTACAACTAGACGGATACTTTAAAAGCTTGCTTGCTATTTCCTGATGCACATGATCTATAAGATCAAATAATTAACACTTAATTCAGTATTTGATGCAAATTAGATAGCTTGGTCTACTGTACTGCGAAGGATAGCTGTTTAGTCCTGCTCCATTGGTGCAAAACGTTTCCAGAAACATCATAGAACACAACAAAAACTTCAGTTTGTGTAATTTGGACCGACATGAAACCTTGCCCATCATAATAGAACTTCATTTCCTTTGGATTCCACCAGGACACACCGCCCCTCCATGCTTTTGACCCACCGCCACTTGTCAAAAATTGAAGCGGGCTGCAACGTTTGGTTAAATACTCTAGTAAATTTGGCATTAATTCATCCTCTTGGTGGATTGGACCTAGCATTGGTTGGGAAAAAAAGAAGAAGAGCCAACTAATTAATGTTTACCTGTCGCTGCTACTTATGTGTTCCAAGCAATGGTCATGTCCATTTATGTAAAGATCAACTTTATTTGCCTGAAAATTTAAAAATCAATGTCGGTAAAAAGGTTGTAGTCTAATTAAACATTAGGCCCATTTTGCTCAAAGAAAAGCCATTGAATTGATTGCATAGATTAATTTAATTTATATAAATTACCTGCAGGATTGGGAGGAGTTGCAAATTGAGCTCAAGAGTGACACCATGAATTCCTGCACTTTTAATTGTATGGTGACCGATCACAATCTTCCATTTTGCAGCGGATTCTTTCAATGCCAAGTCCAAATCCTATTACACAATTAAATATGTTTTAAAATAACTATTATCTTGTTAATTACGCAACTAACTAAGTTGTTACCTTCAAGAGATTGGAAAGGTATCTTTTTCTGGGTGTGATGCCACTCCAATCATACTCGTGGTCCTTTGGCTCATTGAAGTATTTATCGACAAAAGGAGTTGTGTCTACGAAGAAAAAATCTGCCATTTCTGCAGCAAATAGTATTTAAAATTGTTGCAATTAGTAATGTGTGAGTTTTAATCTCTGAAAATTGTGTTTGGAAATGGAAAACTGAGGAAGTTTACCGGTGTTGACGATAAATGATCTTAAGCAAAGCCATCTGCTGTCTATTTCTCTAAGAACTGGACTCATTTGTGCCTCCACGTTACCCCTATAGTCATGGTTTCCCAGCACTACAACATAGTAAAGCAGGGGAAAAGATTGGTTTGCCATTCAATCATTCATCTACTTTTTGTACCTTTCTTGTTTTTCTTTCGATTTTGGTATTAGAATTAGCTGCTTCATTTATTTTTTGCACTGTTTTGGTAATTTATACTCAAAAGTTTTTGGCGGTATCCACACACACACACACCACCCCGCCCCACCCACCCCTCAAACACAAAAATAAATAAAAATATTTTAATAATGAGTAAGAGTATTTTTTTAATCAATTTGTATATATTAAAATTAAATCTCTTTCTAAATGAGTTTTAAATAAAACAACGATGGATATTTAACTAATTCGTTCACTCTCTCTCTCTATGTATATATGAATGAGAAAAACCTTATTTAAAAAAACCCAATCTTAAATGATAAAACGAATGATATATCGGTTTATCAATCATATTATATTATAATGTGACTAAATATCTTAAATTTTATTACTAGTATCACGTAGCTGCAGTAAAAATTTCATCATTCATAATGATCTTTTACAATAAAAAATTACGAATTTAAGACTAATTTTGTTAAAAGATTTTAGGTGTGTAAGTTAAAAAAAAAATACAGCAAAAATTCCTGAGTAAATTGCCAAGAGCATCTTTGATATTAGATGTTAGAGATATTACCATTGTACCATTGCTTTTGCAGGCTAGGAGCTGTGTAAATTTCGATGAACGATTCATAAAAAGCTGGATCATCCACACCCGTTAATCCAGCATCGTAAAAATTATCTCCAGTTGAGATTATAAAATCAATGTCCAATTTCTCTCCAATTATTCCCATCTGAAGAGGAATCGATATAAAATGATTTAATGGGAAAATGATTTAATGGGAAATATAATAATGTCGGACATTTATTTAAGGAAAAGAGGAATCGATATAAAATTTGAACTGTGCAAGCAAAGGATATTGAAATATATTTTAAAAAGTTGGTGATCTCAGTGCAATCACAACAAGTAGCTTTAAAGAGAAATAATAAAGGGTGAGACACCCTTTATGAGTTCAGGTCAGCAGTTCAAAAGCAGCCCACCCCCCCCCCCCCAATGCTATGTTTTCCTTTGCAATTAATGAATAATTAAATGGAATAATTAGAGATAAACTAAAATTTGATTCTTATTCCTATATATATACTCAAGGCTACAAGAAGATCTAATCTGTTCAATTTTAAATCCATAACTTCTTCTTACAAAAGAATATTATCATTGGGTTAAAAGTTTTTTGATATATATATATAAACTAATGTATACGTACAGTAAGCACTCTATAAATTTATTTTTTTAAAAAAATAAATAAATAAATAAAATTTATATGGGAATCCATAAAAAATGACAATACCATTTCAAACTTGAATTTTTTTTTTTATGTTTATCTCTCTGTATGTAATAAGTTACACTCTTTATTTTTTAAATATTATAAAATCTCTCTCTTTCTTTATATATATTTTTTCTTACTTCATCCCTAATAATTTAAATATTATAGTTTGCAAACAGTTACAATGTCGCTGTCGTCCTTGAAATTGAGCTTACGGAAGTCTTAATTTTTTCTAGCTTTCCTTTATAATATATTTATTTTCTCACTTTAAAAATTCAGAAAATGGATTGTACTATTAAAGGATCGTTTTCCAACCTTACTTTATAACATGTTTATAATTTATATTATCCTTTAATATATTTTTTTAAGATTTAAAATTTATACAGATCCATGTTATCTTGTGCTAAATTAATTAAAAAAAAAATGAGAGTGATAGGATTCAAATTCTTGACCGTTCGATCATTAAGACTCGATACCATATTAACATCTCACTCAAAAACTTAAACTATTAAGTAAAATTTCAAGATATGATTTATATTAGTTATTTTTTGTTGCCTATTTGACAATATATAAAGGAAATTAACTTGTTAAAAATTATAAAATTGTCATTTGAATATATATATAACTAATTATTAAGAGCTGAAGTGTAAAAGCTAAAATATAATTCAGCCTATAATAATCAAAACTAAAAGCAGAAACTCAATCTCACTCATGCAACTGTTGGTTTACCCAGATAAAGTCAAACCGGAATGGTCTCGTTATAGTTAAAGCAAACCCACGAATCATTTGTCCCATAGTCATTTAGATTTATGCATGCTTGCTGGCCAATTACATTGGACCCATTGGTTTATACGTGGCACCGTCATCTTTCACATTTAGAGGAAGGGTATGTGGAATCTACATGGAATAATACTCCTCGAAATCTTATAAAAATCACAGAATTAAAGCTAAAAATCAAAGGGGGACTGTGTCGTTCTTTAATTGGACAGACGTCCGAATTAAACAATGCCGAGGGAATATTCTAACATAAAACTTTTTGTTTTGGGTACATAAGAAGGCAGTGGAGAATCCCCCCCAGAAGGTTATGCACCGGTTCCTCCCTAGCTTTATCTTTGTTTTTTTGCACCAAAGCACGATACTAACTACCAAGGCAACTTTATTAGCTTTTATTATTCTATTCCTGCTCTCTTGATGATGCTTTTTCAGAAAGATATTACTAATATTATGGCCCAAATGAGATGACAATATTGAGGATGTGATCAGTATATTTATATCAATAAGATCAGTTATTTGGTCTAGCTATATATGTTATTTGATTTTCTGCAATGTTGGGAATTAATTAATAGTAAGAGTAGATTTTTGTTTGGTATTTAATATGAGGGGAGAAAAAGAAGAAGAAAAAGATGACACGCTTATAAGGTTGTTCGTCATCAGTGAAACAGTTTAAAATCATTGATTTTTGCTGCTTCACAAAAGATAAAAACAAAAAGGCAGATGTTTTTGACAAAAAAAAAAAAAAAAAACCGCACGTACAAAAGGAAATGTTTGATAATGACGAATAAGGGCGAAAACAAGGATTCATCATTTTCTATATCTACTTGTGTTATGTATATCATATATATGTGTGTGTGTAATAAGAGAAAACTAATTAGATATAGTTGTGACCTGAAGAGCAACTTCGGTTTGGTTATAAGCTCCTCTTCTTCCCCAGTCTCCAACAACCAAAAGTCTTAGAGACCCATCGGCTTTGGCTGCATGTTCGAATCGCTGAAGCTCAGCTGCAGAGAGAACAAAAGTGAAGCCTAAAAGAACGGCGAGTGTGAGACTTAGAAGCATAAGACTAGGCATGGCTCCACGGAGAGAAGGTGAGGGCAAGGGGGAGAGATAGCGTACGCTTTGGTTAGCACGGTTTATACGTCTTGATGGCAAAGAGCCTTTTCTCTGTAGATTTATTTATATGGTCAATTCAAGCGAGGTTACACGCGCACACACAATTAATATAAGTAATATATACATATATATATATTAAGTGAGGCTAGACACACGCACAATTAAGTAATATATTTATATATACAAAAGAAAGATGATCAATAAATTCTCTTCTCATAATTAAGTAATTAATTTTTATTTTTTCAATTAAGATATTTTTGTAAAAAAAATTATTTATGATAAAAAAAGTTGATTGAAAAAATGAACTAAAAAACTAATATTATTAAAAAATATAATAAATATAATTAAATATATAAAAACTCGTGTTATTATATATAAACAGCTTCAAGTGACGATGTTAATATGACAAACAAATTTTCCAAAAAAAAAAAAAAAAAAAAGAATTTAGGAATTTAAGACTTATTATCCAAAAGCAGACAAGAAAGTTAATGAAAAACAAAAATGTGGCCAATTGGAGTGATCCACTTGGGAGATCAAATTGGCAATCATCTAGTGCTGTGGTGTGCTGGGACCCTCTTAAATACCCAAAAACTTTGCCATCTTATCCAATTTCTAGATCGCTTCCAAGCTACCTCCAACGACAGTTGGCTAGTCCAGCATTTTACCCCCGTCCTCATGCAACAAAAGGCAATAAGCACTCCCGTTAAGCAATACCCAGTAACATTGTTTTCACCTTTGTTTAAAGATTGATCATATGGTTAGCTTTCCCCCTTGTACATGTACTCGTGAATATTTCTCTTTTATTTTTTCTTTTTAGATTTTTAAGGTTAACAATGTCATGACATTAAAATTAAAACTCAAACTCATCAAGTCCCACACTACAACAAACACTATTAGAAAATTGGCATTTAACGATGGATTTTTTCATTACTATATGTTAAAAATCCATCGTTATATACCATTATCATTAGTAACGAATTAGAGACAATATAAAGTCAATCATCAATATGGTGGACGTTATTTCTTTAGCGATATAATTTTTCTTGTTGATTTATTGAATTTTTGTCACTAAATTGATCTAAAATAATCGTATATAAGGTCTTATATCCGTTGAGACAGAATGAGTGTAGCTAAATTATAATTGCTAATATTATTGCAATTTCGTCATTAAGTCCGTCGTTATTTAGCAACCGTATACGTCTCCATCGTTAAATTTTCTCGTAATTCTATAGCTTGTGAGTGGTCACGAACGACTTGTATGGATTTTGGTTTACGATCGAATTTATTATACTAAAAAAATAAACAAAATATATGAGATGTAATAAATGCAAAAATTAATTTATAACACAATGGATAATAAAGGATTTACCAAATGTTCAAGCATGCTCAATCAAAGAGATGGACCCTCTAATATGCTTGGAAAGGCCAGCGACCGACACTATCCATTTCCGACATGCGGTTTTGAGATGCCCGTTAAGATCAAACTTAATACTCGGGAGTGGCACAATTTCGGTGTCATGCTTTCTATACTTGTTGCTTAACAAACACATGTCTATTACTCTTATGCTTTAGCTTATTAAGCATATCGTCATATCGGCTCTATGTCGGACTCTCCCATGCATTTTTAATCGGCACGTCGATGACCACAACCCATAAAAAGTACTTCTACATGAAAAAAAAAACAATTTTAATACTTTTCATGTTAAATTAACATTTTAAATGAAATATAAGTAAATAATTCATATGTTATTGTAAACTCATTAAAGTAGAAGTTTTTTGTCTCCACGAGAGAGACTTCTATGTGAAGCCGGTGACGTCCAAACGTTCCTTGAAAATTACGATGGTTTTTATGGAGTACTTGTTTGATGAAAATAATTTGTCCATTAGCACCCAATTTTTTCTAAAAATACAAAAAAAAAAAAGGAGTAAAAAAAAATTAGGGATGCAATTAAAAGGGAAAAGGAGAAAAAGATCAAAATAAAACGAGTTTGCGAAATGAGAGATCAAATAGAATTTTAGCCAAAAAAACCCTAAAGGATACCCTTTGCTCAAAAATTAGGGTTTGCTACTCGTTCACCATCCCCACAAAAAACCCAACTGCTAGCTCTCACAAAAAACCACCTCCATTACCCACACACACTCCATAGCCATCTCTCACATAGCCCTCTCTCGCCCACATGCCACGGCCATCCCTCACGCAACCCTCTCTCGCCCCACATGCCCGCAGCTAGCCATCCGCCTTGCCCAACTAGTACGCGAGCAGTATCTATAAGCCTCCGCTTATAGCTAGCAACCCCCTCCATGCTCTTCACACGCAATAACCGGTAGCCCTAATGTGCGCCAGCCAATAGCCCTCCTCCATGTCTCTCTTATGCATCGGCCGGCATCCTCTTATGCATAACATGCCCATTGCCGACCTCGCCCGGCCCCGTGTGCCTCACCCGCAGGCAGCTCACCCGACCCAAGATGCATTGCTTACGGTAGCTCGTACGCCTCGTCTACAACAGCTTGCACGCCTACGCACCTAGCTCGCATGCCCGGCAGGTTAGTCCGCATACTCGATAGACCGACCATCACACCCAAGTAGCACACCATCCCCGTCACGGCGCCTCTAGCAACCACCACTCGCACACAAGCCCGGTGGCCACCGTAGTCGATCCAACCCCTCAATGGCCATCGGATCGAGATCCAACAACGAACAACCACCTTTCTTGCTCCGTTGACTAATTATTAATCTTTATCGAGGTTAAAAGTTGGATCCGACCTCGGGATCGTCAAGTAAATTCATCCGGCTCGTTGTTTACGGTAATTTATTTTTAACTTTTCACTTTGTTTCACTTTATTTTTTATATTTATTAAATATGATTCGTATCAATATGTGTCTATAATTGCTTAAATGATTGTGTTATGTAATTAATCTAATATGTTATTCGTGTATGATTTATATGAATTTATGTGATGTGTGTTTAAATTAAGTTGTTATTGCGTTTGTGATGGACGGATGATATTTTGGATGGGACATATTTGGATGTTCACCATTGTTCGGCATATTTTGAAAATGCATTGGCCCGAATCTTGGGTTTGGACCGTTTTTGATCAATCATGATGATTAATGAGATTTTGTCAATATATCATTAAAAAATATGATTTTTACATCACATCAGCTCAAACTATGTTCTCAAGACCGTTTTATCGATAATGACGTTAAATTACTTGCGCGGAAGTATATTAAAACAAAAAACTACGTCGAATCAAGCAAGTTTGGATTCATGGTTTGAACTTGTTTTTGTGAAATACAATCAATCATACACGTCATGAGAATCATTTTTACTGGTTTTAGTCTTTGTCGATTTTAGCCCAATCATCAATTTTCGTCAATTTCGATCTGTTTGTCGATTTTAACCTAGTTGTCGATTTTGTCATTTGCTCATTTTAGCTTATTTGTCAATTTTTCCTATTTATAGACTTTTTTGCTAATTTTTTCGATTTTGTCAATTTGATTTTGCCAATTTGCATATTGTTTTCGATTTTTCTCTATTTATCGATTTTTGTCAATTTTGGCCTAATTGCCGATTTTTGCCAACTTGTCGATTTTTCCCTAATTATCTATTTTTGAAAAAACTTGATGATTTTTGCTGCTTTTGTCGATTCTACCTATTTTCTCATTGCATATTTATCGATTTTGCTAATTTGCCTAATTGCCTATTTTCTAATTTTGTAAATTTGCTTATTTTGCCTAATTGTCCGTTTACCGATTTTGTTAATTTGTCAATTTTGCCTATCATACCTTTTTGCTTGTTTGTCGATTTTATAAATTTATCGATTTTGCCTATTTTGCCTAATTGCTTATTTGCTTATTTTTCGATTTTACCTATATGTCAATTTTGCCCACTTGTCAATTTTATCTATTTTGCCGATCTCGCTTGTTTTTATTTTATTTTATCGACTCGCCTATTTTGTTTGTTAACATATTTGCTTGCTTTGAGTTTCGTTGTCATGTGCGCTATTTATTCTTGCATTCATCACTTTTTTAGTCATCCGTTACATAGTGAGGATAAGGCCTCTAATTGGCCAAGTCTTAAATCACTCGACTAGGGAGCAAATATTTGAAAAATAGGCATAGTCTTTCATCATTAAAAATTAAACTCAAATCAATGTTAATGCAATCCAGACTTACCTTAGGCGGGACGAGGTAGGGCAATTTTTAATTTTTCCTACACGTAATAAACCTCTTATTCGAACTCTAAATAGACCAATCATAGGGTTTCCTATTAACCATACTACTAGATCGTGACTCCAATCATATTTTGCTCATTTTCCTTAATTTTGCCTTAAAAACGTCACCCCGTGACATTGTCGAATAAAAAAATAAATAATAAATAAGTGAATTAATGATTTCAATATAATATATGAAAATGTAAAACTAATTATCACGGGTAAAACATATTACTTATCGATTATTTATGGCTCAAATGATCTATCCATCATCGGATCTAGTAGAACTTCTTAAAGTCGAGGAAACTATCGTGGGGACATCCACGGCAGAGGGCACTATCGACGAGGGCATAACTGGACATAGACACTTGTACTAGCAATGTCACATCCACATACACGACCACTATCGATCACACGGTCAACATCGAGCCACAACCATTACCATCGTGACCGGATCTATCCAATCTATGAGACATGATTTAAAAATGACACTCGAAACAGTTTAATAAGTGAATAACAATTTAACTAAAAATATATTATAAATTATATAAAATTTTGACGGACTCTCTCTTATCAATTGTATATTTTTTAATTAATCGATACTTTAAATAATCAAACAAATATTGAAATTAAATCAACCAACAATTAATTTACGCACACCGAGATCGGTAATTATCTCGGTTACTTCATCGAAATTAAATTCTAAACTCATCCTCCCGAGCTCCATCGTAGAGAATCGAATC